TCTCCCCCTGCCCCCAGCCCCGAGGCATCACCCTCACGGCAGCACCAGGACACCCGAGCAGGGGTTCCCAGGCAGACAGGAGCATCCCAGGCGCGGGGACCGGGGCTCAGCCAGCTTTGGGTGCCCGATGGCAGCCGCACGACTGAGCACCACCACCATAACCCATTAAAAAACTGGGTGTCTGGGCGACAGACCCTTCAGCTAGACGATCTCGGGCACATAACAGCAGAGAGCGACAGCAGGGGAGCGTGCCGCGGCACGAGGCGCTGGGGAGATGGGCGATAGACGGGACATCTCGGTACCTTCCACAACCCCAAATGAGCAGAGCTCCAGAGCCCCTCCCTGGGGCCTGCCCGGTCCCAGCCCCGCTTGCCTCGTGCTGGCGGCCAGGACGTCGCTGATGTTGGAGAAGAGGTGGTGATGCTCGGTCTGGGTCATGGTGCCCCTCAGCTCCCCCGACCTCATGAAGTGGCTGACCAGGACGCCCAGGCTGTGCAGGTACGAGTACTCAGAGGTGATGATCTCAAACATTGCCTGAAAGAAGCAGGGCGGTGAAGATGCAGCGACACAAACTGGATTATTCCTGACCAAACAAGGCCGTGGATTAGAACCTGCTGTATCTCCCTGGCATGCGGCTGGCACGCAGCCCCTGGAAATGGCTTTTCCCCAACAGCAGGGCAGCCCCTCACCCGATGCGCTGCCTGGCCTACATCAGTGATGTCAGCAGGCTTGAGGACTTTCGTTAGTAAGCCACAGCCCTACGAAGCTTTGGCTATTTCCCATCAGCGTCCGAAGGAGCTGCCTGCTCCCCTGCCAGGAGACGTGGGTGAGCCCTCCCTACGCTGCCCAGTCCCAGAGCTGCTGGGAACCCCCAGCAGCACCACAGAGCCAGCACGCAGGAGCTGAGCCCAGCCCTGCTCCCAGCCGACCCCTGTGCGAGAGGGCTCGGACACCCACGCCTGTCCCACCGCCCTCCGCGCCGGGGCCCACCGAGGCTCTGCTCACCTCCTGCCGCCTGCGCTCCTCGGGCGAGATGCTTTGCAGGACGCCGGCTTCCAGGCCCCGCCGGGCACCGACCTCCAGTGCGGCCAGGGCTCGGCCCCGCAGCCGGAGGTGATTCTCCCCTGAAGAAGAAAGCAAGCCCAGGCGCCAGGAGCACCCGCCTGCTCCTCTCCCAAGCACCACGGCAGCAGCACTGCCGGCATCCCGACGAGCCTGGGCAGGAACCTGCGTGTCCCAGCCGGCACCGACAGCCCCACAATGTCCCACTGCAAAGACGAACGCTGCGGAATCACCTGCTCAGTTTGCTCAGGGAGATCATAGAATCCCAGCATGGCAGGGGTTGGCAGGTCCCTCTGTGGGTCACCCAGCCCAACCCCCTGCCCAGGCAGGGTCACCCAGAGCAGGGGGCACAGCACCGCGGCCAGCCGGGGCTGGAATATCTCCAGAGAAGGAGACTCCACAGCCTCCCTGGGCAGCCTGGGCCAGGGCTCCGTCACCCTCAGAGGGAAGAAGTTCTTCCTCATGTTCAGCTGGAGCTTCCTCTGCTTCAGTTTGTGCCCGTTGCCCCTTGTCCTGTCGCTGGGCACCACTGGAAAGAGTCTGGCCCTGTCCTCCTGACCCCCACCCTGCAGATATT